TGATTTCTGAATTTGGAAATTATAATAGGAATAAAATGCTGAGTACATACCACCAAAGAGAAAATAGAATCAGCACGTATTAGTACTCAATGTGAAGTGAGGAAACTCAGTTCAAATCCCTGATCACCTACTTTCTTCCATGACCTTGTCTAATTTATTCTCTAACTCTGGGTTACTGAAAAACTAAAATGTGTTCATTGTTTAATGTATATATAGCCCAAGCCTAATATATGGTTCATATACATTTCTTTTTATTTTAGACTTGTGTAGATATCTTTATATAAGTCTATAGAAATACAGTGATGTTTATTAACATTTATTTTCTCTGTTAAAAATACTTAACATTAGGTTTGGTAAGCAAAAAATTGATTTAATGGTTTTATTTCTGGTTTTGTTTTGCTAAACAACCTCAGACTCAGTTAAGAGAGGCACTTCCCTTAATTTTCATTTCTGATTGCATGTCCTGGAAAATTAGATTCAGCAATTCATTGATTTTTTTTTATAAGTATTTTATTCTGCCAGATTAATAGTATTCTTGTCCCCCACCCCTTTCTGGAGGGGAGAAGGGGGATCTGTTTTGATAGTTCAGTGCAAGAACCTGCCCACCCTCCCCCCAAGTTCCCGAGGAACAGACATAACAAATGAAACTATTCTAAACACCAAATAAAAATATTAAGATTGATACCCTATGTAGCCTTAAACATGCAAAAAGAGATAGACTTTGTATTCCAGGGTGGCTTCCCAACTTCCTACTTCTGATTTCTTGAAAGCTGAACATTATTTTATATTAAAGAAAACTAGTAATGATGTACAATAGCCTTTATTTATAGAATAACTGACTCTTAAAGTCAAATCCATAATATTAGAATTCTTCTTATTGCAAATCTTCTTTACCTTTTCAGATTCTTAACTTCCCTTCCTTAAGGGTTACTTGGTTAAAAGAGCAGTTTGCCATTTTGCATTTATAGAATTGGTATTTTGTCTGATTCATATCATAAGGATTCTATCTATTCTACTCTATCATTAAGTTCTGGGTTAACATGTTGGCCCTCTTTTCTTCTGTAAATGGGCCTTTAGAATGTTCCTAGAACTTTTTGCAAGCATTAAGAACTATAACATATATAGATAAAAGAAGAGGTTGCCTTTAGTTGTATTAATTCAGATGAAATGTATTTAATGTACTCTTCTTTCTCTCCTTATCTCCCTTTCTCATCCCCGATCCCACCACCACCCCACCACCATCGTTTTGCACATGGGAAATGTTGCCTGGTAGACTTGGCACCTTATTTTGTTTCCGAGCCACTATCTGCTGTCCAGAAACTTGGTGGACCTGTAGTACTACATTGTTCTGCTAAACCTGTGACAGCTCATATCTCATGGCTGCGTAATGGAAAAAGATTGGATAGAAATGTGGAACAGATTAAGATTCATCAGGGGACTTTGACAATTCTTTCTCTTGAACCCTCCCATACGGGCCGCTACCAGTGCATTGCCAACAATAGCGTCGGTGCAATTTTGAGTGGCCTGGCAACAGTAGCCATCGCAGGTAAGTTTAATTTTGTCCGTTATATATGCTTTTTCCTGGAATTACTATTAGTACTTGGATTTTTTGTAGTGGGAAGAGCATAGGCTTTGGAATAAGATTCACAGTAGTTCTCATCCCAGCCTTGACTTTGATATGTGTTTAGACTTGGGGAAATGTATTTGAACCTCTGTGAGTGTAGCCTATGTCTTCATCTGTAATAAGGCCTTGGAAACGACTTGTTACACAGGGCAGTTTTCTAATGTGACTTCTGAATGTCTTTGTGAGCATTTAGAAGTCCTTAATGTCAACAAAAAAAAGCTGTCATCTACTTTGACACTCAGTGATTTCATGCAGCCCTTTATCTTTCTTTCATATCTAATTGTTTTATTTGCTTTGATTACTGAGTGATTTTAATTTATTTAATTGAAACCAGGCTAAAGAAGCAGGAAAAAAATAACTGACTGTAAAGAAAGGAATGTTGAGTATTGAACTTATGGAAAATCTGGAATGTGTGGTTTTCTTAGTAAGTTTGAGCCATCTGCCTTTCAAACAGCGATGGCTTCCAGTAATAGAAAACGTCTTTGTAAGGGCATCCCTATTTACAGAACAAATCTGGATTCCCCAGGAGTAGTGGGTTTGTCATAACTGAGAAGAGTAAATGTTTTTGTAGAGCTGTGACCCATGGACAGCTCCAAGACACACACTGGAGGGCTGAATTCCTAGTGGCGGGCTGCTGAATGCTTTCAGCCTCGGAGGTAATAAAGAGCCCTTCGAGGCAGGCTCATCTGTAGTAAACTTCAACTGAGAGGAATTGAGACCTAGTTAGTATATTCAGATAATTCAAATGATGTACTGCTTTGTTTTTTGATGTCTTAGGTTCATTCCTATAAGCCATTTTATTGCAAATGTGAGTTACTTACAAAGACAATGCAAAGGGGGAGTGACTTTTGATTGAAGGACTAGACTGAAAAGGATTTATCTTGGTAGAATGGGAATGATTATGCTTTATAGTTGTCTGTAGAGTTTTAAGAGCAGTTTGAATCTCTTGTAGCCTCCCGGAAGCACCGACTTCTGGAAAAGGGTGCCATGACTTAGTTCCAGCTCTCAACCATGCACCTCCTAACCCCAGCTACTTTCTGAGATTAAAAAAAATCACAGCTCAGTGAACTCGGATTAGTTGCCACAGTCGGCCTTGTTGCAGATGTTGTTTCTAGTTTTTTAATTTCCTTTGGGAAAGACTTCAAATTTGCATTTATTTATTTATCTACCTATTTATTTTAGTTCTCGGTGATTTTGGTTCATCAACAAAGCATGTTATTACAGCAGAAGAAAAAAATACTGGTTTCATTGGCTGCGTGGTACCAGATAGTAATCCCAAAGCTGAGGTGCGCTATAAAATCCGGGGGAAGTGGCTGAAATATTCCACAGGTGAGACCCCTTATGGCAAGCCAGTGGCCCCCCACAGAACAAATGATCATTAAACAACCTACTCTTAAACTCTGTGTGCTAGGGACCCCTGGAGACAGCAATATGCAGGATACATTGCCTCTCTTCTCAGAAGTCAAGTGGAGACACTAGAACAAATGGTTACATTATAGAAATGATTATGATCTGACACTTCCCAGGTTTACTCCCTCAATACATTCAGGTCTCTACTTAGCACTTCCTCCGAGAAGACCACCCTTACTGCCCCATCTGAAATAATATGTCCTGTTGCTCTTTGCCCTTTATTTAGCTTCATTTCTCCCCATAACATTGTGTCGTAACATATTTTTGTTGGCTTGTTTGTTATTTACCCCTTCCTCTGCCACCCCCATTCCCACACTGGAACGACAGCTGCATGAGTACAGGACCTTTGTCTGCTTTCTTTGTTGCTGTATTACTTGTGCCTGGCCGTCCCTGGCAGAAAATAGGCACACTACACATATTTGTTGAGAAATGAATGAATATCAGGTGGTCAGTGATATGGACAGAGGTTTGCCCAAGGTGATAGCTGTGGTCATTGTATCTTGGTCTGTGTTTCTTGTGCTGTCAGTGTTCTTAATGAATGATCTGTTGTCAGCTGTTTCTGATGATTTCGGATTTTGTTACTTCAGTACTATTGACTTTTTCTTTCTTTTCTACCTTGACTTCCTGTTTATTTTGTTTACTGAATTTTCCCTGGTTGCTTATTTGCTGTTAGTCTTGTTTAAATGTACAGCATGACTATCAACCATTATTAGTTTTCATTGGCATCCTTCATAAAGAGAGAGGCCTAATTTCATTCCCTTCCTTCCTCAGAGAATTACTTAATCCTTCCATCAGGAAATCTTCAGATTTTGAATGTATCTTTAGAGGACAAAGGATCATATAAATGTGCAGCTTTTAATCCTGTCACACATGAATTAAAAGTTGAACCCATTGGCCGAAAGCTCCTTGTGAGTCGTAAGTATTTGGGAGAATAGTGGTGACTAGGAAGAATCCTCAGAAACGTTCCTCATAAAAACTTGGGAAATGAGAATTCATTTTTCTATCAGATTCTTTTGTTTATCATAAAAAAGTCTTATAAAGAATTAAATGCATAAATGCATTATAGAATAGAACTGTGCATGTTTTAAAAATAGAATGACTTTTCAGAATTGCATTCAAGATGGCAGAGTGGAATACTTGTGGAGAACTTTGCCCTTTACTCAAATAAGAAATGATAGAGAAAAGATAACTATATCAGCAGTGGTCAACTTGATGACTGTGAATTATGAAAAAGTTTATCTGTCTTCTTTCAGATATGATAAGTCAGAGCTGATTTTTAGATTATGGTCGTTGAGTTGAAACAGCACCAATAATCAGAGCATGGTGAAATAGTGGTTCCTGAATTTGAGAATTCTGCATTTTTAAACTGCTAATTGGGAAGTAGCCTTAAAGGATCACAAAATATTTTAATTTTAATTCTCAACTAAAAATGATTTAGCTACCAAATAGGCTTGTAGTGTAAAGAAGAATAAATGAGAGGGTGGGAAAATGCACAGATCTGCTGAGAAAGAAATAGGAAGTGAATAGTTCACAGTAGTAATTTTTACTTTCTCTTCTTTTTCCAGGCCCTTCTTCAGATGATTTTCACATTCTTCACCCCACCCTTTCACAGGCATTAGCAGTTCCCTCTCATAGCCCTGTAACACTGGAGTGTGTAGTGAGTGGGGTCCCAGCTCCTCAAGTGCGCTGGCTGAAGGACGGTCAGGACCCTGGGCTGGGAAGCAATTGGAGAAGGTTGCATTCTCATCTTGCCACAGATAGCATTGAACCAGTGGACTCTGGAAACTACTCCTGCACAGTGGGAAACAAGACTGGAGACATGAAACACGTGACTTACATGGTTCACGTACTTGGTAAGATATTCCTTATTAGGGTTTTTTCAAGTCAGGCTGTTTTTCTGGCCTAACTGATGTTTGAATGGAAGATCTACTTGTGAACTATAAATGAAATAGGGACTTTGTAGAAATATCTGCACCAGTGGCCAGAACAAGCTTCATTTTTCTAAAGGAATGCTGAACTAGGCAGTATTTCTGGATGGTACAGAACATTTCACCTGGGATATTCTTGGGAGCCTCACCTTTGACCGGCTACGTAATGCAGATCTGGTTCTTTCTTTCGAAGGACATGGAGGAAAGAGACTGAATTCAGCAGGATGGAAGATTCCCGGCCATATCAGTGTGTAGTGTCCAGTAGTAATAACCAAGCCAGAGCACTGACTAGAAAATGTAATTTCAAAGGAAATCTTTTTCCCTTTACTTTCTCTTTTGGAATGCCTTCCCTCTGGCTCATGAGACTTGGGTTAAATTCAGCCACATTTCTATGGATACTCTTTATCTCAAAGCCGTTCCTTTCTTTTTCTTCCAGCTACTAGTTCACTGTCATGTGCAGCAGCAGAAAATGTTTTCCTTTATCAAAACAAATTTTCATGAAAAGCAGAAAAAAGTATGTAGTAACTGGTTTCATAGCAAGCATAGTTTTTATAAACCTTTTGCACATGTTTATTTGCAGCAGTGGCCTGGAGTTTGTTACACTGAAGGGAATGTAAATGTATAGCAAGTGGGCTTTAAAGTTTAATGACAACTCAGACTAGATAAATATGCATAATCATTTAATTTGGGTATATGTCACAAATGTCAATAAATTATTTATTTTGTCCAGGTAAAAAGTGACTTACACTAAAGTAAGGTTTTTTTTTTTTCCCAGTATACATCTAACCTCAAAGCAGAATTGACCATAAAAAGAATTTAACTTCTGAATAAGCATTCTTCTGTTTTGGCTCCCGTTTAGTATAAAATACAGGGGAAGTATTACTTTATTTCAAACAAATCACCTGAAATAAATGCTAAGAGAGGCCCCAAATTAGAAGCTCTGTGTGTGTGTATGTGTGTGTGTATTTGTGTGTGCTGCGGGAATTAAGTGGTTGGAGAGATCTGTAAAAAGAGACTATAACATGTTAGTAAGATATGGCTTATCCTATTAGAGGAAAGCTAAAATACATTCTAATTTTTTCTTAATGACCACAGCAGATGGGAGAATGTGAGTAAACACTACAATTCAGTTTTAACTAGTTGTACTGGTAGAGAGAAAATTTTATATGACTCGCGTGATAATTTAAAAAGTACATCTTGAGGGCTGGAGTTTAATTTGTACGTTTTGTTTTCAGAACCTGCTTCAATTTCTAAAGGACTGCAGAATCAGACAGTGTCCCTGGGTGCCACAGTACAGTTCACTTGTGAAGTCTATGGGAACCCAGCCCCTAACCGCACCTGGTTTCATAATGCACAGCCTATCCATCCTTCACCGCGACATCAAACTGCAGGCAATGGATTGAAAATCAGTGGCGTTACCATGGAAGATTCTGGGCTATATCAATGTGCAGCAGATAATGGGATTGGATTTGCACAATCTACTGGGAGACTTGAAATTGAAAAAGGTAGGTTTTTAGGTCATGTAATCATAGGAAATTTTACTTTACAGGTAGACTTTTATTGTAAAAATTATCTATCTTCACTAAATGGAAATAGTCCTGTCACCATAACAGAACTGTATTCATTTTCCATGTTTCTTTCTAGTTGCAGTTAGGCATTACTGTAAAGAAGCAATGTTACTTAATCAAACTCATTGAAAATTGTTTTTAAAATTATTTTTTCAACAGATACTTCATAGTTTTAAAAGTATATGGTAAAAGTTTCTTGCTCCTGGTCCGCAGCCTGCCATATTTCTCTTTAGAACTAATACTTTTATCAGTTTTTTGAATATCCTTGTATGTACATTTATAATTAGTTACACAAAAATGTGTGTGCATTTAATAACAGCATCTGTTTTTTTTACTTAAATGTGGTAACATTGTTTACCTTCACTTAACATGCATCTTGGATATCTTTCCAAATGGTAGATAAAAGAGTATTTTCATTCTTTTTTAAAAAATGGCTGCTGATTAGCATTCCATTGTGAAGTTGTGACATTCCATTGATCTGATTAGTAACTTATTGATGGCCATTTCTGATCTTCTGCTATTACAAGGAGTTTTATAATGAATATCCTTCTACATAGATTATTTTGCACATGTGTGAATATCTGTAAAATAAATTATGAGAAATAAATGTGCTGAAGAGAAGCATATATGCATTAGTAACTCTGATAGATAGCACAAGTTGCTCTCCAAAACTTACCAGTTTACACTCCCACCAGCAATGTGTAACTGCCTGTTTCCTCATATCCTCACCAAGGCAGTCTGTTGTCATTTTTTTTTTTAACTCTTTGCCAATCTGATAGGTTAAAAGAAGTACCTTTTGATCTGTATTTCTATTATTGTTGAGTGAAATTGGGCCTTTTTTCCTATGTTTATGAGCCACTTGAATTTGCTTTCTTATGTCTTGTTTATTGTCTTTTGACCATTTAAAAAATTAGTTTTGTTGGTCTTTTTTCTTATTGATAGGAATTCATATATTAGGGAAATTAACCTTTTGCCTATGAGATATAAATAGTTTTGATTTCAAAGAGTCAGTCTGATACAGACTGTCTGACCTTGATGCAGTTCATTTAGTAGCTAATAATACAAAATAATTCTTAACTGGTATGAATTTGGAAGTTTAAAATTATACTTCATAATGGAAATTTTAAATACTTTGAATAGTGGAAATGCAGATCAAATTGTGTGGGACATAGCAAAAATGGAACTTAGAAGGAAATTTGTAGCCTCAAATGCTTATAAAAGAAAACCAGTAACACTGAAAATTAGTGAGCTAAGTAAAATAACAGATTAGATTTAAAGAAAGCAGAAGAAAGGAGATAATAAAGGTAAGGGCAGGAATTATATAGAAAATGAAGATGTGATGCAGAAGTCATTTGTAATCAAGATTCCATTGTTGGCACCTTTAAAAGTAGTTCCAGAAAATCCCTGGGACCAAAGAGTTGGTGCCACTTTAGCTTAGAAACAAAAATGTTGTTCATCTATGTGGTTTGAACTATGCTCATCAACTTTTACTCACAACAGGATTTTCTCCCATGCTTTTTATAATTATATTCCCCCTACCCCCCAAATTGACTATTTTCCTGAAGAAATATTTAGTTTTATAGTATTTCACACCTTTTTCATGTTAAAGTCTGAGGTTCTGGCTTCACATGTTCTATGTGTCAGTGCTCAAATGTGTACAGGACACCTTTTGGAAAGTTCTCAACAGATTCCTTTATGTGCATTCCTTCCTCTCTTTCCAAAGGACAGAAAATCTCAGTAGGAAGTGTCTAGGAGACCACAGCTTTGGAAACTTCTACTTTTTACTGACAGTTTCACCAGAGGAAAGTTGAAAAGGGATCTAACAAGAAGGGATCTCTGTTCTGATCATTACTGTCATTACTATGTCACTACTTGTTTGTGGCTATTGTTTCAGTGAATATATGTGTTCTCCACACTGTTCTGCATGTAAAGCACTGTTTGGAGGATGGTAACTACACTTACTGTGGTGGTCATAATGTATGCAAATTTCAAATCATTATGTTGTACACCTGAAACTAATGGAGTGTTACATGTCAATTATACTTTAATACAAGAAAACATTGTTTAGAAACACATGTGTAAAAGATGCTTCTAAGACTGCTACTTGCCCACAACATTGAGAACATTTATGCAATGGGGTGAAATTATTTTGCATTGTAGACACTATGATGGTCTTAATTTCTTGTATATGAATTACTCTTTTAATAGACAGCGGACTCAAGCCGGTTATAGTTACAGCGCCAGCGAGTGCGAAGGTGGTAGATGGAGACTTTGTGACTTTGTCCTGCAATGCCACTGGAGTGCCAGTTCCAGTCATTCGTTGGTATGACTGGCATGGGTTGATAACCAGCCATCCGTCTCAAGTCCTTAGATCTAAATCCCGAAAATCACACCTTTTAAAACCTGGGGGCTCTGACCTGGAGCCTGTGTACTTCCTCATGTCTAGAGCTGGTGCAAGCTCTCTCTATATTCAGACTGTTACTCAAGAACATGCTGGGAAGTACACCTGTGAAGCTACAAATGAACATGGCACCACACAGTCAGAAGCAGTCCTCACAGTCGGTGAGTTGCCTTTAGGATTTTTTCTCAGGCGAATAGTTTCCTCTGATAGTAGGGGACAGAGTGCTCTGAAGTATGTCATTTTAATAAATCCAGCAATCTCTAATATATATAAAAACCACACCGGCAGCGTGTAGGTGCCCTTGAGCCAGGGGAGTGGCCCAGGGGGTGGTCTTCTGCTGAGAAGTAATGGTGAAGGACACAGAGGTTGGGTGTATGCCCTGTATTTTCATTCACACGCACACAAGGATTGTCTAGTTCTGAATGAAACTGGAGGCAGCAATCTCTAATATATATGCTTCTCACAGCAACAGTGAAATGTAGAACTGTAGTTATTGGTATTTGATCTTAGTATCAACCAGATGAACCTTACTCTCTGTTTCTAATGTGTTTGTTAAGCTTGTAGTTGTCATGTAGAAAGCTCTCAAAGGTATGACCTCTTTTTGTGATTAATGCTTTGGTTTTCTAAGCTACTGAAAATGTCATTGCAGACATTTTTCAGGTGAACCTTTGATAAGTACAGTATCCAGAGTCTACAGGGTTGGTTTTCATTGAGAAAAGTAGTCATGATACCATCAAACAATACCTGCATGTCTATTTTTCTCTTTTTACTAAGTTATTTTCTAATAGGATTTACCATATTCTTTTTTTTCCTTATTAGAGTATCATTGTCATACAATCTTATGTTTGTTTCAGTTATACAACACAGTGGTCCAACAGTCCCCCGTATTATTAAGTCCGTAGCCCTCTAGTGTGGTTACTATCTGTCAATGTAGTAAGATGTTGCAGAATCATTAACTGTATTCTTTGTGCTGTACTACTGTCCCTGTGACAACTTGCATTGTGATTGTGAATTATGCAGTATTAATTCTTCATATTTTTCTGACTTTCGGTGATGATAACTTAAAAACTTTAATTATAAAAAACTTTAATTTTTGAAATATTGGTACATAGGATATCAATATTAAAAGTAATTCAGATCTGGTGTACTTTGCCTTCAAACCTGACATCAGTGGGCATTTAGAGCAGCGTTCCCCAGCAGGTAGTCGGCTGAGTGGAGACTGTTGCTCTGTTTGTCCTGTGAGAGGCAGAGCATCGAAGGGCAGCACTGACCTTAGTCTCGCGACTGAGGTCCCTGCGTGGGCCTCTCTTTAGAGGGCTTCGGGGGGCTCTTTCTCTCTGGGCCCTCAGCTCCTCAGGTCAAAGAGTCCGCGGGGACAAAGGGCTGTGCTTACTCAGAACCTGGAGTCCACGCTCCACCTTCTCTGCAACAGCCCTGTGGCCCCAGAATTCCCTGCTCTGATTAGTTCACAGTCTGGCCCCACACAGGTCTTCTTCCCTGGCCTGTCCTGCAGAGTGGGGACCACACCGGCAGCGTGCAGGTGTCCTTGAGCCAGGGGAGTGGCCCAGAGGGTGGTCTTTTGCCGAGGAGTAATGGTGAAGCACACAGAGGTTGGGTGTACGCCCTGGATTTCCATTCACATGCACGCAAAGATTGTCTAGCTCTCAATGAAGCTGGAGGCAGGAAGAGAAGTGGGGAAGGCTAGTGACTTCCACGTATGTTCTTATGTTACTCTGTGAATGCCGGAAGTGGGAATGGTGTGGAGGTGCAGCATGTGGACAGTGTTAGGATCCTGGCTCTGCCGCTTATGAGCTTTGTAGCCCAGGGCAAGTCACTGAACTCATCTGTGCCTTGTGCCTCATCTGTGTAACAGGGGTGTTGAAGGTGCCCTACTTGTAGGGCTAATGTGAGAACTCCAGGAGTTAATACACGTAAAGTGGTTTAAGTGGTGTCTGGCAATAGGAAGCCTTCAATAAATACTAAGTAATAGGTTATACTGATTACTATATGTTCTTAAATTATACTAATGTGGTGGTTAGGGAAGGAAAAATAACTGATTTTAGTAACCTTAAGAATTCTCAAATAAAGAAGATAGTTGAGTGTTGTATAAATTTATGCATATATATGAATATGTGTGTGTATGCATACTTGTGTGTGTTTTTATATATCTATTGTGCCAAGCAAAAATAAGAGTGGCTGTGCTCCAAATCGCAAGCTGTAAGACAGGTGTAGTAGTGCAGGTGCTGATTTGGGGAACACTTAGCTGACGTGATTATTAAAGAAAGGGTAGAGAATGCTGTAGATGTCATATAGCTAATGCAACTAGATGTTTTGTCTAAGTGTCTACATGAGAGATCTGAGGCCCTTAGAAGATACATAAGCTAACTTGTTTAGCTTAGCTCTTTAAGATCCATCCCCTCCAGGATTTTATGTCTTTGTAAATACCATTCTTATGTTTAGGAAGTCCATCACCTACATCCTACATAAGTGGTCCTGCGTTGCTTCTTTTTCATGCTCTATAATAATTATTAAGATTTCCAGCCAAGATTATTAAGCTCAGAACAGTACATAACAACCCACTTCTTTCCCCAAGAATCTGAGCCTTATTAAATTCTAGCATACTGACAGCCTTTACTTTGTTTATTGTGAAGGGAAGAAAGCTAAGTCAATGAGAGAGATGACTGTCCCCTACACCCCCCGCCCTTTTTCTTTCCAGAGACATTGGGTTTTGAGGCCTTGGGTGTACAAATATTTGTAGAGTGAGCTGTAACTCTTCAAAACTATAAAGGGAGATGACCTGGGTTTCCTATAGAGTTTGGGGTGAGGATTGCCCAGATAAGTGGTCACAACTTTGACAGATCTATTACAGGATTTACGTTGCCATAGTTATAGTACGTAGACAACTAGTGTTTTATCAATCTCTTTTCCAATTCAGAAAACGTCTACCTTTAAAATTGCTGGATGTCTCTTCTGATCATTTCAGAGTTTTGAAGAAAAACTGAGATAATATATGCGAAATCCTTGAAAGTTCTGTGAAGGCCTTATAAATTGTGTCTAGTTATTATTATTGGGAATAGTGGAGAATTTATTGAACCCCCTTTTAATAAAAGTTATTAAATATTTAATAAAAGTCTTACTGCATCCTGCATAGCAAGTTAAATTTTGATACTCATACAATAGACACAGACTATGGCATAAAATTTTTCCCATGCTTCTGTATAAACCCAAGCATGTGGTATTTAAACTCTCATCCAGCCAGCTACCGCTTCCTAGTGGTAGTCAACCCAGAGGATCCATGAAACTACTAATGATAAAAAGGTCCTTCTCCACTACCTTAAGCCGCAACTAATTACCCCCACTTGCTAGAGTCCATGTCTGCATTAGCAGGCACCAGATCACACCCTTTACATCCAGCCCACACTCTGACTCACTAGATAAACATGGCTGTTCCAGGAACAATATTTTGAAATTGTGTCAGTGAACTTCATTCGTTTTCTTCTCTATTATTTCTCACTACCTTCTTGTTTTCTTAGATGAAAGATGCTTCTGGGACACCTTTTCTGTCTTTTAAGCAAACAGAGAACTGACCTTTCACTGTCAGTCCTGTGTTTGGCTGGTTCTGTCTCTACTAAACGGCAGTAGTTCTGAAAATATACCCACCTTTTACCAGGAATCTGACCTCACTGTGGAAAAGAAACTATTAGCGCTGTTTGCTCTGCTCCCTTTCCTACACAAAAGTAGTCAAAAATAGGAGACTTTTTCGTTGCCAGTATTAATAGCATGTTAGAGAAACCAAGCTGTCAATTCTTATATTTTATTTGTTTTCAGAAATTGCTTTCTCACTTGTTTCACGGCAGAGCCGCCAACATTCTTCTGCCAGCTGTTGTTACTTAATCTCTCAGAGCCCTGATTTCATCTGTAAAGTGGGAGGATTGCTGTTTACCTGAAATGTCATTTTGAGAATTAAATGAGATTATGTTTATTAAATGTCTAGGAGAATGTGTGGCACATAATATGTGCTCAGTAAATTTTTTGGGGGTCTATGCAACCTATTTATTTTTTTAGTGCCAAATAAATTATTTTTACCTTCCTCTGTATATTCTGTGTGCTCTTACTAGTAAATATTAAGTCTGTCTGCTTGGTTTATCTTCCTTTAGATTGGCAATTTCTTAAGCCAAACTTCAGTTCTATCCAAAAGGAGCTCTCGTTTGGAAATAAGCATATTCTTTCTTTATCTTTGCTAATTTAGTGTCATATTTTTCCTCTTCTTGAATGTAGATTGTTTTCCTTTGGCGGTGTGAATATTTTACTTATCTGTTGCTGCATAACCACCCTGAAGATTAATGATTAAAACAACAGCCCTTTGTTATCTCCTACAATTCGTGGGGTAATTAGGTGCAGCCTGACCATTCTGGCCTTGCTCAGGACCTCTTTTGCCCTTGTAATCACACCTGGGGCTGGCACAGCCACAGCAGCCTCACTCATACGTGTGGCACCTTTGTGAGGGCTGGAATCACATCTGTCTGTGTGTCTTTCTCCCCACGTAGTCTCTGCACAGGGCTAGCTTGGACTCTGTAGGGCAGCACAAATTAGACGTGTACCAAGTCTTCTTAAGGTTTAGGCCTGGAAAAGCATAACCTCCCTTCCACCTGCCTTTGGTTAAAGTGAGTCACAGGGCCACCTCCGAGTCAGCGTGGGAGGGGTCCGGCCAAGGGTGTGAGTACTGAGGTGTCTTTGAAGACTGGATACCCAGTCGGTCATAGCCTAACTCTTGAACATTACTGTTGTTCTTGTTCCCAAGGGAATGTATTGCTCACTGTGTTTCATATACCAACTGGAGTTAAATTTCCACATTGTCCAACTTAAAAATCTTCTGAGGTTAAACTACTGAAGCAAATTGTTGTAAAACAGGGAAGACTAGTGTTGCACAAGGAAAAAATAATATCCTTTGAGCCACTAACTATTGCATCATGTAACTCGAACAATTAATTTGCTTCTTCATGAATAAGAGATTGTTACTGGAGGTTAGCTGTTTCCATGGATTATAAATCGAAATGTTACCTGTGACATTTCTGTGCCAACAGTATCAGTGTGAGCAGTTACAGCGCCAGATAAAAGACTCCGAAGTAATGCATTTCTTCAAGCTGTCTCCTCATACGTGCTCCTTCTCCCTTTCACTGCAGTTCCTTTTGAAGCAAATACAAAAGCAGAAACAGTCACACCTGCCAGTCCCACTCAGAAGGATGAAAGAGGCAGTTCAGAAATTGCGTCATCGAGCTCATCTCCCGTGAAGGAGCATCCCAGGGCAGTGGGATCATCGTTAGAGAAAAACGCCAGCAGTGCCTCTGTCCCCGATGCCCCCATCATTCTGAGCCCTCCACAGACCCACACACCAGATACATACAACCTGGTCTGGCGGGCAGGGAAGGACGGCGGGCTGCCCATCAATGCCTATTTTGTAAAGTATCGGAAGGTAATGTCTTCTTTTGTATCTCTTTCTCTTCTCACCCCTTGATGTTGTATGTGTAACACATGCATCTTGTCTTCTACATTCGGGGAGTAGCAGGAAACAGAACAACAGTGTTTGTTCTGGGAGGATGAAGTTGGGAGAGATGCCTCTGCAGTCATGCTGGGTTTATTAGTCTTAGAAAAGCAGTAAGAATGAAGTATAGTTTCTCCCCAAATAGGGATTCTAAGAACCCAAGTGACTTCTTACCATCTTTTATCAAACATTTTAACCCTCTGGGTCTAAAGCTTTACAAACCACTTTTTAAAAAGTCATTCCTCCCCTCTCTAAGACAGTAGGATATAGCTTATTCGGCAAATAAAGCAGATTCTTTTTTGAAACAACTGTTTGAACAACATTCTCTGGCATAACCTCTGACAATTGTTTTCCTTTCAAGTTGTTTTCTGAATTGTATTAGAATCTTACATTGTCTGGTCATTATGGTGAACCTTGATCCTCTCAGTTGACTTTTCAGAAAATGTCTTCTCTCCAGAGGCCTGTAATTAAGGCAAAATCAAAAAAAAATCTCCTTTGTTTAATGAAACTAGTAAATTAATACAAGGAAGAGATACATTCATATTTAAAATCATTTTCTTTGTTCAAAACATTGTGATGATTCTAGATGATAAAAGTTGTGCTGGTATCCTTCCCCGCATGAAAACTTCCATATGCTCTTGTCTCTTGGTTTCATTAACCAGAACACGGGTTGGATATCTTTTTTTATTCCTTCAGCACATAACAGTGTGAAGACATGAAGCAAAACTGCTAGAACTATATAATGCATCAATATATAATGCATATACACATAAACATATATAATGGATATTCTAATTTATGTATTTATTTTGTATATTGCATACTATCATTAATATGTATTATTATATACCTATTTTATTCTCCCATTAGCTTAGTAAGAAAGAAATATTGTTTCCATGATAAGTAAAGGAAACATCTCTGGGATATCAAATAACTTGCTTGAGGCCTAAGTTAGTGATAAATCCTGGAGCCAGGAGTCTTTTCACAGTGAGAATTCCTGACTTCTTGCTACACATCTCCCTATGTTAATGTGAAGAAATATTGTGTCTTTTTTACTTACAATGGGATATCACTTCCAAAATTAATCTAGAATTGAATGACTTCTGGTTTTCATCAAATTTAGATGGAAGGTTTTCTGCCTTTATCTCCTTCTTTAAATGGTTTCTTTTCTCTCAAGCAGCTAGATGATGGTGTTGGTGTGGTAGGAAGCTGGCACACAGTTCGCGTCCCAGGAAGTGAAAATGAGCTCCACTTGACAGAACTGGAGCCGTCTAGTCTCTATGAAGTTTTGATGGTAGCCAGAAGCGCAGCAGGTGAAGGACAACCTGCCATGCTTACCTTTCGAACTAGCAAAGGTGAGTGTAATTTCCTTAAGAGGAATGAGCTGGCTGTCTTGATGTCACTTTATTAGTAAGTGTGCTTTAGGTAGTAGAGATTCTTATATATCTAAATTCATTAAATAAGCCTATTATAGAACCTTTTTGGCCACATTTGGATGCTTGTATTATTCCATTCCATCCACTATTCCACAGATGTTTTTGAGAGCTTGTGATGTGTAAGACAGAGTAGGTGATGCAGGGAAAACAAAGATGGTGAAGACAAGGTCCATCCTAATGGACCAGTACCAGGAAAGACTTAGAAAATGCTGCAAGAGTACAAAGAAAGGCATTCTTTCTGTGGAGTAGCTTGTGAGGGTGGGTTTGATTGAAAAGTTGCCATCACAGCTTGGGGCCACAAATGAACAAAAAGATTGCAGTGAGTAGAGATGGGAATTGGGTGGAAAGGTAATTTAGTATTGATATGATAATGAGAGGTGGTATGATGATTAATAAATTATCTATTGGCTTTTGAAAAAAGCTCTTTAATTACTGAGTCTGACCAGAAAAATTATATGAAATTATATATTTCTTTTTGAAATGTATTTTGAGTTAATTTTCATGATTATTCATTAGTTTATAGAGTCTGACCTATAAACTATGTAATAAGAATGTATTTGAGTTTTTAAATAATCACCCAATTTCACTTTATGCTTTAAAAATTTTCTTAACTCACTATGACAATTTTCCCATTAACTGAAGCTCTTTAATAATGAATTTGTTATTTTAGAATGAAGAACTATGTGCAATAAAAAGAAAAATGGCTGAATAGTTTGCCAGCAGCCGTTTGGCTTTTTTACCTGTATTGTTTTCTGTGTAAATTTAAGTCAGCCTGATGAAGAAAGACAGTTTCCCCTTAAAGGTACTGGAAAAAAACAAAGCACCTTTTTAAGCCAGTTTCTCAGATGAGCTGAGATAATGTAGGTTTTAAATTTAGACACTGTAGCAGAAAAGCCTGTATTTATAGCAATGTACTAGTTATGTTTCACAGTATCTTATCTTACTTTACAAAACTTATATTAGTGTTTTTTTTTTTTAACCTTTCTAGAGAAAACAACATCCTCAAAAAACACCCAGGTATCCTCTCCACCCATGGGCATCCCTAAGCGCCCTGTTATTTCAGAGGCTGCGGACAGCTTTGGAGTGGTACTTACAGATTCTTCTAGGCATAGTGGAGGTAAAGAGAAAAATCTTTATTTTATTCATTCTCTCTGTTTACAAATATAACTGATCTGTTTCAGATTATCTGGGGGATGGAGTGGTACGCAGTGTTTATTGTTCAGATTATATCCTACCATATATACTCTTTTATAAAGGTCCCGTTTCAATCATTTTTTAATGTTCTATATTCAAATCTTGGTAACTCAGTGTTATGATTGGCATTTCAGGTAATAAACTCAGATTCAAAATGTTCTGGTATATGTTTTTATAACTCAAAAAAAAGATTTCTCTGTCATCTCTCTGGCGAGTAAACCAAATTCATATTTCATACTCTGAAAACTTTTTTTTTTTTTTTTGGTGAGTTATCAAAATGTATGGCGGCACCTATAATAAGATTTAGTTTTCTGAATGATGATTGCATGTCTTACTCAGTTTTATCACTGTGTCTTGTCAGCCTTATGGATTTTAGCTGTTGTAGCAGTAAAATTTTCAAAAGCTTTCTTTTTAGTATTAAAATTTCACACTTGTCAACTCTGTAGTTAGAGCACAGTGTACTTTCTGTGATTGTGCTAACAGGTGTTGGCAGGGCATCCAGGGTAGGTGTAAACTTTCTTTCCTGAGCTTTTAAGAATTTGTAAGCTTCTCTCCCCTACATTACAGTCGTCCATGAATTTGTCTCAGACAAAAGCAGGTCACAACACTTTGAATGCCTCTTCAGTGTCATGCGCTGCTTCTGCTTGAGTCCTTTGACCTGTCAGGAACACTTCAGCTACCTTAAGCAGATTACTTTTATGAGTATCAACCTTATATGAATAGAACTGACATCTGAAAACAAAAACCTCAGACTTATTTAGCACTGTGGTAGGCACTGTATTAAACGCCAGAGCAGAACAGATCAAATAAATCTTGCCTTCAAGAAGTTTGCCATAGAGTGGGTGAGAGAGACAAGTGAACCAGTAAACGGTGTGTTGAATAATATAGACAGATTAACCCAGAGCAGTGATTTTGATTCAATTTGCCTGCGATTCTACCCCAGGTGCTTGGGGATCACAAGAGGAATATCTAAATCACCCATGTGATACAGGTAAGGGAAGCTCCCCAAGTTAAGCCTCAAAACAAGAATACAATAGCTGGATGAAGAAACAGGACAAGAGATTCTAGGCAAAGACTGCTCCTTGTGCAAAGAGACAGATAAAATGTTCTATTTCATTCAGAAATTTAGAGTTTAGGGATTTTATTTAGTGTTGCTATGGGGAATGACACTAGAGTGGGGGAGGCAGGTGGTTGCCTTGTGTATGATGTACTTAAAAATTTCATTTTTCCCTGAAACCTACAGAGAACCTTAAAGCAGAAGAGGGGGCTAGAGAAATAAGGCTAGTGACAGTGTGGATGGAGGAGGGAGGACACAGGTGACAGATCAAGGGGAGTGATTCCAGTGAATGAGGGCAGAGATGGTGATGTGGGCTTGGGCAGCCGGGGACCCTTTTCTGCGAGGCAATAAGAGGTTCTAGGTGGAAATTAGGGATTCACTTCTGGAAGTCGTGAGCATAGCGTTATCCAAGCAGAGTTAACTATAAGAAGTGATTGAATAATCATCTTCACAAACAATTCAATGAGGAAGGTAGCATCTACTTTACAAATCAGAAAACTGAGACCCAGAAAGTTTGCCTCCGATCATCCAGAAAGTGGTGGAACTGCTATTCAAATGCAGATATTTTAAACTCTAAGCAATTTCTTCATCTCTTAAGGGCTGCACATTATTTCTTTCAGATATTGGAGATATTCTTCTCTGTAGAGATATTTTTCCCCAATAGCTTTCTTTCTTAATCTGATCGGTGGTGTCCTGTGATGAGTTTTAACTTCATATGAATCAACATAAGGAAGTTTTTGGTTTCCTAGTTTTTAAAGAGAGACTCACTAACATTTCTATTCATTCTGTTTCCATTGCTCTCTAACCTGAAAGGAATACAGTAAGTATCACTCAAAGTTCCCTGCTTTGAATATATTCCTCTTTTTATCCATTAAGCAATTTGTTTTTAAAATGGCACAATTTTCTCCATGCAGATACCATATGCTACATTACTTTGTTCTCTCTTACGTATTCGGGTTAAAGAGGCGTTGAGGCAGAGGGGCATTGCTGAGGAGGGGGTCGCAGGCTGGACGGGGATGGGGCTCCCTTGGCAGCCTCGCCGAGTGATGGCACCACGGCCCAGAGCGGGTCCCCCTCGTTCAGCTTGAGACACTTGATTGTTAGCTTGCCGAAAGGTAGTCAGTCTCTTGGGCACCAGCACTTTGACAAAATTCACACATGCTTCATAGGACCCAGAAAGGCAGCTTATGATTTTGTGTCATAACTGTCATCCCAACCGATTGTTACTATCGGCGTTCTTTCCTTGTGGGAACCAAGTGGGAAGCCAGTTATAACCACAGATCGCTGGGTCAGCAAGAAGAATTAGGTACATGGTTTAAGTGGCTGATGAATTTTCTCTTGGTGTTTCCACCTGCCACTGACCGTGGACCATCTTCTTGGTGGGTTAGGACATCCCTTCCCTTTGGCAGTGCTAACTGAAGACTGCCAGACATGAGCGCTCTGACCCCCTCTTTCTACGTGGTCATGTAGGTCACCTATTTTCTGGTAGCACTTTTCTTTAATGACATAGCCTGTCTTCTTGCTTTCATCCTGAGCAACATTCTCTCTTCCCATTATTATCAGCATTGATTTTATTTCTCAAATTTTATCTCTATTTTCCGCTTGCACTTTGTTTTTTAGAGTTGCATTTCTTGAGGCGTGTTAACACAGGTTGTAATAGTAATAACTAATATAATCTGCAGGTCGTTTGCTGAATATGTTTTATATTGCTTGGATGGATAAAGAAAACCAAGTAAGATAACATATAATTTTGACCATTTACTATAAATTATAACTACAGTCAGACTTGAAGCACCAAATAATACATAATTATACGTTGTTTTAGCCATGAATCCAAAACAGCATGGCCATAGTTACCACACTCATTCACTTTCAGGTTTTCAGAACTCATTATCAGGTTATAGGTTATTTTACTTTTCCTTCCATTTATTTCCTGTATTTTGGCCATTGCATTGCCCACTAGATTTTAACAGGGGCCAGGAAGATAGTCATAATATTACTAATTCTGGCAAAAAAGTTGGTGAAGAATATTTAAAGAAAACATGTTTAGGATTTGCCCCTTTTAGTTTGAGATATTTCTGCCTCTGACCCTGTGGGTTATTGAAATGAATGTTCCATCTTTAGTTCCAGAGGCACCCGACCGGCCTACTGTCTCCACCGCATCGGAGACGTCCGTCTATGTCACCTGGATTCCTCGGGCAAATGGGGGCTCTCCCATCACCGCCTTCAAGGTTGAATATAAACGGATGAGGACTAGTGATTGGCTGGTGGCAGCTGAAGATATCCCGCCTTCCAAACTGTCTGTGGAAGTTCGTAGTTTACAGCCAGGTAGTAATAGTCAAACATTTCCTTTTTTTCACTGTCAGTGCTCACTTCTGTTGCATATTTTTAATAACCTTGTAATTGTCTAGTTCTTAACGTGAGGTAATTGTATAAAAATTAGAAAGTAAACTATCAAGAAAAGAATACATCAGTTGAAAGCCACCTGTCCAGAGATAACCATTGTTTACATTTTGGTATATTTCCTTTTAGCCTTTTTTCTCTTTTTAATACAGACTGGGGCCATGTTATAAACATTATTTTATGATCCCATTTGCCCCATATGATATATATGCATTTTCCAATATCATTAAAAATTCTCCAGAAACTCAGTTTTTATGTATATTTATCACATAGGTATACCATGATTTACTTAATTTCTTTCTTTATTTCTGGGTTTTAGATGATTTCTATTGGCAAATAAGTAGAAACAGTGTTTTGGTGACTTCTTTGTGGGTATGCATGTGTATGTGTTTTGCGATGAAGATATTTTAAAAGAAAAGTTGCCTGCTATTTGACTGAAATTGTTTGATCTAACGATGAATCTCGGCATAGTTATACTCAGTGCTTAGTCCTACAGACAAGGGACACTTAGCCCTTCCCTGTTTGTAAATTTTGTTGCAGCTGAGGAAGCCCCCCACCCCCAGTATCTTGAGGCTGTATGAAAGAAAGTAAACCGTAAAAGAGAAAAGCAGTAATAAACTTACTTTTATTTGTTTAGGTTTCATGACCATTTTTATTTATGGACTTTTAAATGTACTTTAGTAGCAGATGCCTGTGCTTGTCTAAACAGGTGACATGAGGAGCTTGAACATGGAGGTGGGGAGTTGGGACAATGTGACAGTTTTAAATGTAGGTGAAGCTATGTAACATTTTACAAACAGAAAACACTGTCCTCAGAAGCCCAATGGTTGTTTTTAAACTATTAAGAAACTTGCTTTAGGAGTCTAATTTATTTTTTAGATTCAGATTTTTAGAAACTCACAATACTAAGAGTCTTTTAAGTTCTTAGTATGTAAGACAAATATATATCTTCTGTTTTGGTTTAAATCTGCTCCCTCTTATTCTATTATTGGTGAAATGAGAATAACATCTGCTGTCAGCCACACAGTGCGTCTTCATAAGTGTATTCACCATATTAAACTTCACTTCAGTTGTTTCTTTCAAAGGGAAAAGAACCTAGTTTTAAGCACACACATTTCAACTAATACTGTGGGTATGACTTCAGAAAAGGTTGTTAAAAAATGTAAATGTGCTCTCCCTTGCTTTCCGTCTGCCCCCGTCCATGACAGACATCACTGACCCTTGACGGCCTTCTCTCGCAGTGACTCCTAATAGGGTCTTGGGAGCCTGAGCACAGTGCATTGAACAGCCACTGCCAGTTGGTAGAATTTGGCAAGTGGGTTCAAGTCTATTTACCATACAGGCTTTCGAGTTTTTTTTTTGCTGTGGAAGATTGATACGTAAGCGTGACTGTCATTTTTGAATATTGTACCTTCAGTTGTGTTATTACAGCTTTTTAAAAATTCCATTTTCTCCCCCCTTCGAAAGGTTCAACATACAAATTTAGGGTCATTGCTATCAACCATTATGGTGAGAGCTTTCGGAGTTCGGCATCTCGGCCTTATCAGGTGGCTGGGTTCCCCAATCGCTTTTCTAACCGTCCAATAGCTGGACCCCACATTGCATATACAGAAGCTGTCAGTGACACTCAGATCATGCTGAAGTGGACGGTAAGTACTACAGCTCTTACGCGAAGGTTTCTGGTTTGGTGGTGTTAATTTAATAATTCTCATGCTACAATATCATGAACAGCAAAATTTTTAACTTTAAAGTGAGGGGACATTGCACGGTACAGATATTTGTCTAAAAGCACCTATAAATGGGGCAACACTAAAAATAAAACTGCTGCCTCCTTACCTCTCATGCAAGTGTTCACTTAATTGCCATTTCATGATTTATTCATTTTGAACCAAATATGCATTTATGGCATTGAACCTTATAAAATATGTTGCTTTGTTTTTGTTTAGCCCTGCAGTAATCTAAATGCTCTTAATACCTGTGAATACCTTTTAGTTAAATTAAAAATGGCCATCAAGGATGTTTGCAAAATGAAGATGGAAGAATATTGCCACACAGATAAATCAATCTAAATGGATATGAAGTTACATTTATTTTTGTCTTTGACAAGTCTTTGTTTCTGTTTTTTAGTACATTCCATCAAGTAACAATAACACTCCGATTCAAGGATTTTATATCTATTACCGGCCAACAGATAGTGACAATGACAGTGATTACAAGAGGGATATTGTAGAAGGTAAGTTCTTTTAAGCTGGGGTCCTAATAAAGGAGCTTTAGAGGGAAGGAGTTTATAAATATTACAAAAAACATCATCCCAGGTTAAGATAGAGAAAAAATGAGATGTTACATACACTATTAATTTGAATTTTTCCCAAAGAAAATGTTTTTGATTTAGTATATGTATAGTGTCTTACATTTTGGTTATAGAAACAGTCAATTACATAAGTGTCAGGGAGAAATGATTTGTCAGTAGTTCATCTGAAAAAAAATTGTTTTCTGTTTTGTTGAAATGAATGAGGACCTGAGTATAAAAGTCAATTGCATTCAGCCATAAAAAGGATTGAAATCTTGCTATTTGTGACAAAATGAACTTGATGTTATGCTAAGTAAAATAAGTCAGACAGAGAAGGATAAATACCATATGATTTTATTTATATGTGAACTCTAAAAAAAACAAATGGACAAACAAAACAGAAATAAACTCATAAATACAGAGAACAACTGGTAGTAGCAAAGGGGGTTTGGGAGAAGGGCGAAATAGGTGAAGGGGATAAAGAGGCACAAACTTCCAATTATTAATAAATAAATCATGGGGGAGAAAAGTACAGAATAGGAAATGTAGTCAATAATATTGTAATATCTTTGATGACAGATGGTAGCTACACTTACCATGGTGAGCATTTTGTAATGTATTTAATAGTTGAATTGCTATATTATACAACTGAAACCAATATAATATTGTATATCTACTTCAATTAAAACAAGTTTAAAAATTTAATTGCAACTTCTACCTGTTTTAAAGAATAATGTCTTAGTTAGCAGTTCCATTGAAATCTGTACTAGAAAGATCACATCTGAGCATGTTACCCACTTTTAGAGATGCTAAGAAATTGGAATATATGTAGAAAAAAAAGCAGCCAAGATAGTGAAGAGTGTTCAAACTGCTTTTCTAATTCATTTAAAGTATAATCTAGAACTTTCCATATGGTTTGAAGGCCCCACACAGTGTGCTTGGCCCTGACTATACCTTCTGCCCTGTTGCCCGCACCTCTTCCTTTCTCACTGTCTTCTGTCACACACCAGCCTTCTTCCAGCTTCTGTGCGTGCACCAAGATTTCTCTTGTTTCAGGACCTCGGCACATGGCAATCCCTGCTACCTGTGTGCTCCTCTCCCAGGGTGTGACCTAGGCACCCCACTCTCCTCCATCGTGGACTTTAATTACTTCCTCAGACAACCTTCTATTTATATGAGATACCCGCATTATAATTCTGAACCACACCCTGTATGTTTATTTCATTGACTTTATCTCAGTTTAGGTGTGTGTGTGTGTGTGTGTGTGTGTGTGTTAATGAAATTATTTGCTCAAAGTTTGTCTTCCCCTACCAAATAAATGTTAACCCCTTTGTGGGCAAGGGGCTTTTTGCCCCACAGTTGTACCCCCACCCCTAAAATGGTGAGGTGTTCATTACGAATGAATGAATGAATGAATGAATGAATGAATGGAGTCCCAAAAGAGCAATGGACTGTCTGGGAAAATGACAACTAACAAGCAACCCGATAGCTGTGTTCAAATAGTTAAGGAAAGGAAGTAGTGTGAGAAGACCTTCTCTCATTCCGTTTCTAATGAACGGTTTCTCTCAAAAAGATAAACTCGCCAATTCTGGGGATGTTCCAGAGAAACTAGATTCCTATTTCTCAGTCATACCTCGGAAGGGATTTTTGCTTTGGGAGGAAGTCTTCTTCCAAGGTCTGTTTCCACTCACTCCAAGATTCTGATTCTTTGAAATACTCGTCCTAATGGACCATACAGCATATAATTTTTGTTATATTATTTTAAATGTTGTATCACTTTTCTTTAAACATTGTAGCATTCCTTTCCTTTTCATGTTTATCCAGTGGAATTATTTTCATAACGTAATGAAATATGTCTCATCTGAGTTTTAGTATGTGGCGCACAGTAGGAGCTCAGTAAATATTTTTCGAAAGAGAGAATGATTGTTTCTCCTTTCTTAACCTTGAGAAGTAGGAAAGAAATTAGTCCCTAAAGTCGGCCTTAAACATAAAGAATTGGGGAAATGGGGAAAGATAACTGTTAGAGGGAAACTATTCTGTGATGTCAAGGTAGTAGCTGTCTTGACCGGGAAGAAACGGGAAGAGGCCTGAGGGGAACTTTCGGGGTACCAGGAATGTTCTCTTTCTTGCCTAGCTGTTGGTGCCGTGGGTAAGTTCAGTTTGTGGCTACTCAGCGGGCTGTACCCTTGTGGAATGTTTTCCATATGCATGTTTTACTTACTAAGAAGGCTGTGTAAAAAATTAATTGAAAGAATTGTTAGTGACCCTTCTACATTTTCTTCCTAGCTAAGTCTCTGTTTCAGCTTAGCTGGATTAGGAGAGTGGGCCTCTCAGGTTTTTATTTTTAAAATCTTTTTTGACAGTGGGTAAGCATTTGTTACAAAATAGTTCTAAATGAGGCAAATATAAATAAAACAAACATCTCTCTCCCCTCCTCCCTCCTACCCTTCCTAGTTCACTCTCTAGAAATATCCACTGGTGAACAGTTCTTAAAACTATATTTTCTGGTTAAATCTTTGAAGTTTTGCAGGTTTGTGTGATGTGAATATTAAGTGCAGACATGGGGAATTACCGTAAAGGGGCCTTTGTATTCAGTAGTAGTATCTGCAAACGTGAGTTCTGCCTTATTGTTCACAGAGAACTTGTTTAGAAACGTAATAGACGGAGCAGTTAGGTTCACTGTGCTGTGTTTATTCCTTATTTTCAAGTTTATGCATTTGAAATTCTTTCTGTGGTGGTTGGAAACTATTGGCCCATTCTCCCAAACCTAGGAACAAGTGTTTATCCTTTGTATATAAAGTTTTCTTGGAAGTGTTAGGTTTCTTTTGTGTATTGATTCAAAATTGATTCAGCTTTTGAAAAACATCTGAAACTTAATTACTCTGTTAAAAAAAGAACAGTAAGAGAAGAACAATTATGTAAAATTATCCTGTCTTCTGAATTAAGTGCCACATTTAAACTGTACATTTCCAGCATACCTGTACTTTTGTGATGAGTATTTTTATTTAGTTGAGTTCCAAATAAATAAAAATATCAGTCATCCTGGTCTTTAAGTCTGTGCTTTGATTTCTCCCCTATACTAAAGTATCCTTTAAGAAAAAATTTACCTATTAAGGAAAGGATATGCTGGTTGGTTGATTTGAAGCCTAATAATGCCCTTACTTGTCTTACTCTTCAGTGATCAGTAAAAACTCTCTGCTGACACTACCTGTAATCATAGCCATCGGGTTAATCACCATAACAATGGGATATTAATCTAACAAGATACATACTATTTGAACTACTATTTTCTCTTAGTAAACATATCAGAAGCTTAGTTTGGTTCCATTTTTACTAGTGCTGTGAAAGGAAAACTTCAAATCTAATGTAGTAATTACTCAAGAGACTATTTATAATTAGGTGAGTATAGGGGCCATGCCTGGAAAGGCCTTGGGATGGGGGGTGGGGAATAGAAGTCTTTTAGAAAGTGTTTGGAATTTAGAAATAGGTCTATTGCCGTCTCAACCAGATTTTGAGTCAAGTTTCTTTTAGGGTGCTTTTTACATTTATAAGTGGGGCATACAATTCCTTACCTTCAGAGTCCCTTGATCCTAAAACAAGCAGATTTTCTTCCTTCCAAAATACGAGTCTTTATGAATGAGGGACTTTGTATCGGTGGCCTGGAAAAGGGGTTGTGTTTCCAGACTGAAATATTTGTGTCTTTGTTGAATTAGAAAGGAACCCGGTGCTGCTGGTCCTGTCAGCCAAGTAGGTTTGACCTGTCGTGTTGTTTGGTTTGGTTTTTTTCTCCTCCTTTCATTAATTCTTTAATCAGTTGGTGGTATCACTGAGTTTCTAAGAAACAGTGAAAACAGTTTGAAGAGGTATTTTCTAAGAGGGATTAAAGGTGCTTAAAGAGTTAATGAAATCTTGCAGAAGTGTCCCAGTTTATTAAAGTTTGTCACAGGTCCATAGAAGCACAAATGCAGAGTGATTTATACTGGAGTGTTCCGATTAGGAATGTTTCTTAATGAAATGCTGGCCATGTGCCAGGGATAACAGAATCATTTGTTCAGAGATACTTGTGTGGTTTGGAGACCCTGATTCAAAAGAAAAGAAATAGTGGGAGCAGTAGCCAAGAGTTTGCCATTTTTTGCATTTTGATTATTGTCAACCATTCATTCAGGCATTCATTTATATTTCAATTCATGCTGCATCCACTACAGTGGCATTGAGACTTTTGCTGAGGCCTGTCTTGTAATTGGTCACTTCGTTTGGGTAAGGCACCGTTTGCTGATCTCATCTGTGGTTTTGGTTTCTGGTGGATGGACCAAGTGGTTCCACCTGCTGGGCTGAAATAGGGAAGTGAAAGACTTGAGGGTCTTTTTTAACCTATGCATAAAATAAACATGTATTTTATGACTCAGCACTAATGATCTGCAATGAAACAAAATATTATTCCCAACACACAGATAGAGCTTTATTCCCATTTATCTATTCTGTTTCCATTTTTTTCATGCCAAGTGATAGAAAGGCCATTTATCTGTGGTGCATTACTAAAATACATGAAGTACATTTTTATTGTATAAACTATGTGGTGAGAATGCTGTTCCAACTTCTTTTTGCAATTATTATATAACTATATTGACCTTGTCTTTTAGACCGTATGCTGTGTAAAGCTTATCTTTTGATTTTTCTTTCTAGGATCAAAGCAGTGGCACATGATTGGCCATCTGCAGCCAGAAACTTCTTATGATATTAAAATGCAATGCTTCAATGAAGGAGGAGAAAGCGAGTTTAGTAATGTGATGATCTGTGAAACTAAAGGTAGGAGAGCAATGATATTTTGTGCTTTTTCCCTGGACAGTGCTAGAATTCTCTGCATTATTCTTTCTGACTACTGACATATTTACCTAAGGAAATTTCTGCTTTAGGCCATTTTCTAGGTGCATATATTTAGATTGTCCCAACAGAAAGTGTACTATGTTGGCTAGATCACTTTGTCTAAAAAATAGTTTACATAAAGGTTAGTTATCTGTATGCATGCAACTAAGTTGCTTCCCTTTTTCTCCATGAAGTTGGAGAGAATAGAAATATTTGCTGACTAATCTCTGAGATTGCTGGAAGGATTAGAATACTAACAAAATGTGTCAGAATTTTATGGAAAGGTGCTACATATGGTTGAATGGTTTCTTGAATGCCAGATATGCATAACACTATCTACTTCCTTAACCAAGTATAGTAGTTATATTCAGAATTAGCACTCACCAATGCTAAGTTGAAATGCATAGATTAACTGTAAAATAGTACCATCTCTAAAAACAGAAGCTACCACACGTGAATAAGAAACAGCTGATGTGGATATTTACAAAGCAAAAGAACTGGTTCCAGTCTCAGTCTGACAGAAAAAGACCATTTCTTCCTTATGCCTATTTTTAAGAATAAGGGAAAATTGCCCAAAGTCCTCTGATGGAACTTCCCCTTACCCCCAGTGGGACTCAGTGGCCAGAACTCAGCCACATGCCCCCCAAACCTTTCCCCGGAATGGACTGATTGGCCAGGATCTACCCCAGGTTGTGTGGGGCTCTAGTGGGCACTGAAGCACAGTTGGGGCTCTGCCAGCCTGGGAGGAGAAGGTTGCTAGATGGGCTAGGCATCTTACCCTGATTTAAAAATGAGGAAACTGAGGTGTAGAATGATTGAATTATAAAGCCAAGGCTTAGTTCCATCTTTTCATTCTAAAATCATGTGTCTTTCTGCTGCAAAATGCACATAGGAACTTACCTTGAATTTCATTTGGTTAACATACATTTGAGTGGCTTTTGTGCTGGCCCCTGCGATGTGTTAATGGGCATTTCTGACTTGCCTCCAGGGCACTGTGGTATCAGAGCAAAATTAAATAAAAAATGAAAATGATCATTTCTGTCCCCAAGACGTTTAAGAATCTAGCCAGGCAAAATGTAAACCACAGACACCAGTGCAATAATGATGTTATTCTGGAGTTTTTGAAATACTATTATCATTTAGCTGTGTTTACGATAGTATCTGTCGTGTTAATTAACTTTGCTGGGGAATAAAAGGTTCTACCGAGAAACTTCTGGATTAGTGAAAAATGAAAAAACTCCTTTAAAACATTAACTGCTCCTACTGAATGACATTCTAAAGTGTATTGCACAGTTCCCAGCCTGCTTAAAATGGAACATATGATAGACAATTTCACCTTTCAAAGAAATGACTCAACATTCTTGTTGTAAACAATGATTGTCTTATCTTCAGTAATTCAGTAACTTTTCCAGGAATAACAGAAGTGTTGAAAGCCAGCCGTGCTCCCCTCCCCTTAAAGATCATAGACTGCCATGGTCTCTCTCTCTCTGTTTTTCATCTCATCTTTCTTATTTTGGGCTCTTAGCTGTCTTGTCTTATTGATGTTAACAGGTCTGTCTCACTCACCCTCCTCCACTAGTTTTTAGCTTTAGCAAGAGGCTGGCAACCAGATCATAAAGCTTGGTAGAACTATGAATAAATTAAGAGAAAATAAAGAGTGAGTGAACCTGAAGGACTTCCCTATGAATAATTGTGATCTTTAATGTATGATCTCTCACATCCATTTTGCCTCAGAAACTTGTTTGTTTTCTTTACAATTGGCAGGGACTTAGAATTGTCTGATCCAACATACCGCCTGGATAGAAATTTTCCTGTAAAGTCGCTGCCAAGTACTCATCCAGCTTTCAGTGATGGAAAGCTCTCTTCTTTGAAAGGCAGCCTCTTCTTTACAGATTCCCACCACTGTACTCTTCTGTATAAATTAGCTAAAAAATACACCCCAATGTAATGTTTGTTGAAGTAGGTTTTTTTTTTTTTTTTTTGAAGACCACTCTGCTCCTATAGGTTGTTTGGAGCCAAATCAGGAAATCTGGAATAATAAGTAATAGTAACAAAATGGATGGAACACTGCCATGTGCCAGTCTCTATTCTAAGTGCTTTACATGTACTACCTCATTTACTCTTCATTACAACCTTATGGTAGAGCTGCTATTATCTCCATTTCCGCATGCAGAAACTGCTGCATGGTGGTTAAAGTCATGCAGCTAAGAGTAAGTGGTGGTGTGGGATATACATCTAGGCCATTTGGTTCCAGACACTGGGCTGGTGACCAGTGTGCTTTACTGCTTTTCTGTGCCATCTAAAGCATTAAAAGCATGTTATTTGGGACAGAGAAAATGGGGTTTGAGTTCCATCTGTTATTAGCTTTGGTTATTGCTATCATCCAGAATCCTGGTGAATTAAGTAAAAATACTGCATTACATGGACTCCAAAGGTTTTTGGTTTTGGAATGCTTCCTGTTGAGCTTAAGGTGTTTGGAATTGGATATAATTGTTCTAATAGTCTACCAATACCTTACAATATTAATCACATGGTAGAGGCATAAAATACGTAATTCTGAGTGCTATTCAACTCAAAGTATTATCAAATAGAAAGGAGTTTTTTGTCCCACCCATGAGTTGAAATTCTTCTATTTCAACTCTCTGGGAGTCTTCTACAAGTACAATAAGCAGCTAATCGTGTAGCAGTTTGGGTTGGACCTAGTGCCTATGATTCCCTGATCTTATGCTTTCTCTAGAATTGTGGACTAAAGCTTTGGCACATTGCATTTTTTTAAACTTTCGAGCCCTCCTTGTGCCTCACTGGTGGTCAGATCATCTCAGAAACACGTGTAAACAGACTGGCTTGCGTTCCTAACCAGACCTCCTTCAGAGAGTAAACCATTTCCTAGAGTCTGTATTCACTCTGACATCATGTTTTCCTTCATATTTCAACTAGTGAAACGTGTTCCAGGAGCTTCTGAGTACCCTGTGAAGGACTTCAGCACCCCTCCAAATTCTTCAGGGGGCGGAGGAAATGTAGGGCCTGCTAGCAGCCCTGCCCGAAGCAGTGACATGCTGTACCTGATCGTCGGCTGCGTGCTCGGTGTGATGGTCCTCATCCTCTTGGCCTTCATTGTGATGTGCCTGTGGAAGAACCGCCAGCAGAATACCATACAGAGTGAGCCACTCATAAATCCTGCCTTCTCTTTTTCTGATGATGGGTAAAAAATACTGATTTCCAGCACTTTTATGTGTTAGTGTCATGGTATAAAACACATTAGATACTCTTCATTCGGAAGAGGAGGTGACGTGAACACTGCCCTAGCTGTCAGCCAAAGTAAGTGGAGCATCAAGTTAAGTGGCCCAGTAAAAATAAACAACAAAGCCAAATGTAAGCGTGTCTGTAAGTAAATAGCCGACTTAGGGCTGGGACACTCTGGCTTTGTCGGACCACCAAAGAGGATGGATACTTGAAGCGTGAGGTTTGGAACTGCTGCAGGAACACCTTCGTGCCAGTACACAGCCTGTCAACAGGCAATGGAAAAGGCGGGATGGAAAGGAGGCTAGTGAAGGCTTTTCTAAGTTACCGTCACTGAATGACACAAATTCAGGCAACACAGTCCTGGTTCAGTACCTGACGTACCAACACTGCTCAGGGTGGCATCCCCTGCCCTCAGGGGATGTACCTGCAACAGGAGTGCTGAACTGTCATAATGGTGTTGCATCAAAATAGATAACCTGGAGGCCCTGGCCTGTCTTCTGTCCCTGTTTCTCTTCCCTGCACCTTTCTAACCTTTCCCATTCTCCCAACTATTATAAAATAGGGGAACCAGATTGAGCCAAGACTTTAACTTCAGTGGGAGAAAGTTTTTTGGTCTCCTTTTTGGCTCCAGAGTAAAGAAATGAAAGAAAAGCAGAGGAAGACACCAGCAGTTCCCACATATGGTTCCTTTTTAGATAGAAGCTCAGCGGGAAAAAAGTGATTTATTTTTCTTGACTTGGCGCCTTGCAGGAGAAAGGCAGGGAGAGAGGTGGTGGGTGCCAGGTTGGCAGGGTTGGAGATCATTTGTTTGGGTTTTTTTTAAGTGGTTTTAATGTCAATGACTTTAATCATGTGAGTGTGTGCTGAATCATTAAAGGAAAATAGGGATCTGTTTGTCTGAGCAAGCCTAATCTGGTTCAAGTCATCTTCCTATGTGACTAGATGAAATGTTTAAAGATGCAACTTCATTAAGTCATTTATTCAAAAGATACTCACTGATTGTCTTGTTATGTTCCTGGCACTGGGATGGAAAATGGAGATGTAACGGTAAATGCAGTCCACATGGCCTTTCCATTTATAGTTTAGTGGAGAAGATAAGCAGGTGTACTGACAGGAAAGCATGTGCAAGAAGTTCAGTAACAGGACGAGGGATACATACTCCAGTCCGGGTGCGCCCTTTATGCTCCTTTGAGGAATCTGTCAAAACTAGAAGAGCAAATCTCGCCCACTGTAGATCCTGCACTTCCTAAGGGATAGTTCACTTTTTAATATATCTGGTAGCTGGGCCTCTGAAATTCAGAATTTTGAGGCAGCTGCTTAAATGCTTTTAATATAAAGAAATGGAATCATTAGCCTTCTGCCTTTGTCACGAATGCTTTTTAGCTGAATTAGCCTTTTTGTCTTTATCCCAACTTCCAAATTGTCTATAATAGCCAAGGAACTACATGAACGGTCACTGAATACACACAACTCCATTCTTTTACTTAGAAGTATTGTTTTTTTGCTATTTGAAGTAATCCTAACTAAAGTTAGCTTTTTGTTGTTGATACAATTTCTTTCAGCACTTTGAAGGACAGGAGAGTTTAAACCCTCTTTCACAGCATTGACAGTACCTTGATATTTCAACTTACACAGTTTATTAATTCTCTTTTGAGGAATTGCTGGTTAATTTCTCTTTCCATTAACAGAGTCACAATTACCTCAAAATTCCTGGCAGCTCCACAGTGTGAAGGAAATAACAGCAGTCACTTGGTGAAAGCCTATCTTGCAAGTAGGCTTTGAGTGAATACTTTGAGAATGTTTTAGGGTATTGCATTAATAAAATGGGGTTTCATTAATAAAGCTTCCTAAGCAAAAAGATTGTCCTTTTCAGTATCTTACTTTTCTTTTCTTTTCTTTTTTTTTTTCCTTTCCCTTTTTCGTTCTCTCTTAACAGAATATGACCCACCGGGATATCTCTACCAAGGATCGGATGTTAACGGGCAGATGATGGAGTACACCGCTCTGCCTGGTACAAACCGGGTCGATGGAGGCTTCACAGGCAGCGGCGCTCTCAGCAACGGCTGCTCCCACGCCCACCACAAGGTCCCTCACGGAGTCAACGGCATGGTGAACGGGAGCTTGAATGGAGGGCTTTACTCTGGGCACACAAGTTCACTAACCAGGACACATATGAATTTTGAACATCCTTGTCATCTAGTGAATGTAAGAGATCTAATTATAAATAAAAGCCTCCCCGTGCCCCAGGGTGCCAGGATACAAGAACAGAGTTGGCATGCTTTGCTCTTTTCAGTGTGGAAACCTCAGAGGTTCACTGGGGTGGAAATATGTATCACTGGCAAATCCTTGACCCAGAGTAGTTTTGTAAGCTTTCTGTTACCAGGTAATAGTTATATTTATCAATATGGTGAATGCTTTAACTTTATTTAGCACTGAAAGTGAAATACCAGTAACAAACACACTGGAAATCATCCCACTGAGGGTAGACCAAACCAAATGCTTTGGATTTGGTTCATTTAGAACAAAGTCTGGAAACTCATATGCCGAGAGGAGTCAGGAGATTGTGAAATTGAGTGAACAAGTTGAGAATGAGACATAAGCAGTGGAGGCCGTAGCAAGCTGGAGAGCTCGTATCCTGTCTTAAAGAAGCAACTGTGATTCAGCTCCTGTTTGGGGCATGCAGAACTGGGGGCCTGAGATGTTTCAAAACACCTGTAAATGTAGGTAAAATCACCAGATTTTTTTCATGTTGGCAACTAATTCCAATTTTTGTAAGCATTGCATGGGCCATGCCGAACATGCCTACAGGCCACCAGATTATGATTTCTGACCTAGTGGGAAATTCTTTTGTTTCTTTTGTTCAATATATGTTGTTGCCTATAGATTTTTGCATTTTGTAATATTTGTGTTTCTTAGCTACAAAGAGTAATACTATAAAACTTTAAAACTATTTTATTTCAGGAATAACTAGCTCATATAGTTAAATATTTGAAACTGACTAGCATATTTTAGATAGCATACTGGTTTAAAGAGGTTCTCTGTACTAGGAAGTTTGATTTATTACATTGTTTGGATATGCAACCATATTGCTTTTCAATCAAAAAGATGATTTGTTTAGTTGATCAAATTAAGCACTCGTTTTAGTTTTGGTCCTTGTTCTGATTACAGATAAATTTGCCATAACCCACAATGTGCTAAAATTTGAAGAAGTTTAGGGTCTATCTTCAAATGTTGTATTTATTCCAATATGACATTTGAAGAACAAACCTATCATATTTATTTGTATCTTAAAATTAGAAGTCTAATGGCTTTCATGTGACCAAGCTTGAGTGTGTTGTAGAAAAAAGTTTTTAATTTACTTCAGTGCATCTCATTACCAAAAGAAAATAATGATTTCATTATTTTGTGTGGAAAGACATGGCTTATAGTCAGACTTTCTAAACTTTTTTTGTCACCATTCCTAGTCCGAACTACTAACATTGTCCAAGAAACGAAAGGAGAGAGCATTAAAGTTTGAATAGCACATGCTGTTTCCATAAGAATGAAAAATAAGCCTGATGTTTGCTTTTAGTATTTGAACACAGTCCTTTGGTTTACTGAACAATGAATTGCTATGTAAATAATAGTTGCTCCATTAGGTGTACAGTTTTAGAGGTTATCAAATGTGATTTTAACTCATTAGTTTTCTTACTGTTCTGGGTGGGAGGAATAAGGAAGTGTAAAAAAATCATAAAAATCAATGCACTAACTTTAATATGTTTGATGATTCAAATGAGTACATTACCCTGTAGGTTGTTAATTTCATTTTCTGCAGCTTTGGACTTTACCCACATAGACTGAACATAGCTTAGGAATATTCTTTCTCTCAATGTTTTCTTAAAAATTCGTGTTGCTAGTTGGATCAGTAATGTTGAGAACGTTTCAGTACTTTTGGTTTGCTTAGATTCTGGCCGTTGTTATGAGATGAATGGAAATGGAAAGTATTCTGGGGAAAACAATTGCCTGAACTTTTCCTAACCTTGAAGGCCTGCTCTGGGTTTGGGTGCAGTGTGACAACTTCCTCACCCTTATCAAATTCAGTTTTTCTTTAAAAAAAAAAAACAAAAAAAAACCCACAGAAAAAGCTGCTGCTTTTCATCTGAAACAGAATTTTTTACTCTTACCATAAGGCCTGTTCAATTCGTAACTTCAATTTTGAAGAACTTGCCATTGCATATGTCTAGTGAACATTTTGCAATGAGCTATGTGTTAATCTGGGCATTTTTCTTAATTGCTGGGCAGTTTCCGCCAAAAGCAACATCAGACTATTAATGCTCGCTTCCAAGTCATTGCTGGCTGAGAATCTACTCCATCTGAAAAAATATAACATGGTTTAAAACTTTAGCATGGTCAAGTGAGCAGACCTAACTGAAATAATTACAGGAAAATGAAGATGGGTTTGCCTTGTGACATCATTCAGACAGATTTCCACCCTGTTTCTCCAACTGGAATCACATAAAACCCTCCCATGACTGCTTGAAAAGTAAAAATGAGTAAGAGATTATAATGTATAGTGGCTTTGGGGCCTTTAGGTTTGAAACACTGAAGGGAAATGACTACACTCCCGTCATTTCTTTGCCTCTTTCCAGCACAAAAATACATGGAAAAAAACACATGGCAGTTAAGTTTTGGGAGTCCAGTGTAAATAGTGCAGAATTCATTTGTGAATATAGATACCTAATGATGAGCATAACTCTCTTCAGGGAGCTGGTTAAAATATACCATGTGTCCATTCATTATAGACATGCCTTTTGCATTTGGGATTCCTTGGTGACTGATTTATGGCCCCTTCAGCCCTCCTTCTCCTTTTCTTTTTCCCCCGCACCATCTTCCTGACAAGGGTGGCGGAATGTACACGGCTGTGCCTCAGACTGACCCGTTGGAGTGCGTCAACTGTCGAAACTGTCGGAACAACAATAGGTACGTTGATACGTGTTTGCACAAGTTGCTGTGAATGAGGCATCTGACTCCTTTTGTTCTTTTCCTGTCAGCAGAAGAAGTTCTTGAAATCTTCCCGAAAAATGGAGGCTTAGGTTTAAGGCTGTAACTAATTTTTTACCGCTGCTTTACTGTTTTTATCTCTCTGTGCTTTGATTTCTTTAGATATAAGGACAATATTAAAGATTTTGTCTCTCACTGAAATGTTAAAAGACTTGATGGTTTTGAAATCTTAAGTTAAAGTCATGCTCTGTACACAGACTTTTTCTTTTCTCACCTGCTATTTAGGGGATATTTTCTAGTCAGTGTTATGAATGAGAGCATGTTTAAATGTTAGGGAAAAAATCCTGTGTATGCAATAATGTTTTTTTCATAGTGATATAACCAAAATTTTTTTACCGTATGATTCAGTTTTTTTTTTGAGTCTTAAAACCTCAAGGTAAATCAGTAGCAGAATCTGCTGTCTTCGAATTTTCTGGGTTCTAAGAAATGTTAGGAGTAATATATACTCATAATATTTCAAACAAGATAGAAATATGTAGAAGTAACATTTGCATTTAGATTTTCACAGAATATTCAGAAAACTTTCATGCTACCTCTCTATATATTAATTCCAAAGGATTATCACTTTTTTTTTTGCATTAAAGTGGTGTCTGTCAGAAATCTTAGTTCTTTCTTTCATGTAATGATGGTATTGGATTACATGGTCTCAAAAGTCCTTCCCCACTCTAAAACTACAGTTTAAAAGTTGTATTATGGTTAATATATCCAATAATGGGAGTATGGACTACAATTTGGTTACTTCATTACTGAAATGGGATTTGACTTCTATTTTTTAAATGAATTATAATGTGAGGGGTTGTGTCTGGGAGTTACCGGAAGCATAACTTGAAGAAGGAGCCCATCAACCATGGAATCCCAAGCACGTTGTTTTCGGCCTGTGTTTTGAGAGTTGCAGAGCCACAGCAATGAGCTCCCTGGAGATTTTTCTTTATCATTTACTTAACCCGTCTTAGGGTTTCTGTATTAGCAATCACCACCTGCCTATTTTGTGTACTAAGAGTTGCTTGTTACCTTTTTAAACTCTACCTGACCCTAGCTAAATTTTAAGATGTTCACAGCTTTGAAATCACATTTCTGTCCTGAGCTTGTCATAGGCCTTTCCGGAATTTGCTAGGAACATGCTAAAGAACTGGTGAAGATGGTTCATACGTCTGGTATGTAATCAGGTGGATCTAATTAATGCAGAGAGTGCCACCTAAATACATAGTGTGCTTTCCTTTGTGGTGCTTGTGGCCATCAGCAGATCCCTATTCAACCGAGACATGAGATACCATGAGAACCTCTGGTCTAAGAATAAGTAGACTTAGGCTTTGCTCCTCCTTCATCTGTGATCTTCGGAAAGTTATGTAATTTCTCTGAGACTATTTCCTTATCTGAAAAGTGGAAATTTTCCTAGGTAATGTAAACTGCCCCCAACATACTCTGATTATAGATTTTGGTAATTTGGTGCTAATCCTGTTTTTACGATAAGGTATCTTCCTAGTACCAAAAATATATCCCAATTCCTTAAAAGAATTTAAATGACCTCTACCAATCTACATTCAGAGCCATTTGTATGTAAGAGTGAATGAGTGTGTGTGTGTGTGTGTGTGTGTGTGTGTGTGTAGGACTTGGGGGTTTTATTTTACATGGTTTTTTTCAAGCTAATTACTCCTTGCATTTCATGTTTGGGAGTTTTGCTTTAATCTGGAAACATCAGTGAATTCTCTTCAGCCTAAGAAGCCAGCTTCTCTTTCTCCCTGGTTCAAATCTTCTTCCTACATGAGAGTCTTCCTGTTTAGGGCAAGTCTTTGCTGGCCTGTGTTGCTGCCCAGGTTAGTCAGACGTCTCACCTTGCTCCCAGGAGCCATTATGTGATTTCTGAAACTAGTTATCGGCCGGGTGAATACCAGTAAGTACCTACCTTCAACTCTGGGAAATTGGAATCATTAAATTTAAAGCTAATTCTTTTAACTTTGAAATTGAAAACAAGTATCTCCTCTCACGATCCCCCAAATTAGCCAAATTTGTAATAAGCTTTGAATGCCCAGAGGTAGATGATATATAATTTACTCCCAAAATATGCACAATTTTAGTCAATTTGCACTTTTAAAATGTCTTCAAAGAGATGAGGAAATAGATGTGAAAAAATGAGAATGAAAGGAAAAAGAGGGTTCATTTATTCATTCAATAAATACTTGTTGAAGATCTGCATTGGGCCAGGCATCAAGATAGTCCCTGGGGTATAGCCGTGAGCCAAGCAGGCGCATCCCTGTCTTCACTGAACTTATAGTCTATATATGGGGAGACATAACTCTTTTTTTTTTGAGAGGGCATCTCTCATATTTATTGATCAAATGGTTGTTAACAACAATAAAATTCTATATAGGGCACTCAACGCACAGTCATTAATCCACCCCAAGCCTATATCTCAACAGTCTCCAATCTTCTGAAGCATAACGAACAAGTTCTTACGTGGTGAACAAGGTCTTACATAGTGAATAAGTTCTTCCATGGTGAACACTGCAAGGGCAGTCATATCACAGAAACTTTCGGTTTTGATCACGCATCAAGAGACGTAACTCTTTTTAAATGACACAAATCATAAAAATGAATATATAATTAAAACTGGATGCTTTAAGAGAAAAGTAAGAGTGTATTAGAAAGAAGGACCTCCCTAAGCAAGTGACATTTTGCTCTGGAGCTCTGAAGAATTTGTAAAATTAGGTAAAAGAGAAGGGGACAGATTTACAACTTTCCAGGCAAAGGTAAGGTGCCATTTATGCAAAATCTCCACAGCAGAATGTCAGAGACCTCAAAGGACTTAAAGAAGGCTCATGTAGCAGGAACCTAGTAAGTAAAGGGGTCAGAGGTAAAAGAAGAGGGAAATCAGATTGTACAGAGCTATGGTGAATCAGCAAAAGATTTTAAGTAGGACAAAATTGTGACAGAGCATTCTGAGTAGAGTTTGGAGAATGAATTGGACGGGGCGGAAGAGGGTCAGGGACAGTTGGATGGCTTGTGCAGTGGTCCATGTGATGAACAGTGCTCTAGGGCAGGTGCAGCAGATGGAGAGACGCAGACGGGCTTGGTGCAATTTTTAAAAAAGAAGACATAGCTAATCATTTGAGGAGGTAGGCAGAGAGAGAGAGGTGTCAAGGCTGGTGTGGAGATAACAGGATACAATTTGCTCAGCTTGGAAACCCTGCAGGAGATGAAGAGATACCGTGTACCCCTCAGCGTACCTCTGGGAGTCCTCCTTTTTAGACCCCTGTGGGCTGACCCTAGACCCCTTTCATCATCCCTCTATTTTAGTAATAACTACCTAGACAGAAAACTTTGCCTTTATTGCCTAAACTGGAGTACTGATGTGAAAATGTGAGCACAGGTAAGAGGGGAATGTGCTCTGTAGCAATCTAGGGAGTATTATTTGATTTTAGGGCCTTTGTGGCACATTGTAAATAACTGCCTGCCTCACTATGTTCAGTTCCTTTGAACCCTCTTCAGGTTTTAAGAGTAACATAGAAGAGGTCACTATAAACAGCTGAAAAGAAGCAGATTTAATACAGCTTTGCAAGGAGCCAGTCCCCTACACTGAAGACTTTGCTAGGAAATCCTTGTACAATTTGCCATTTCAAGAGTTAAGCAGATTTGAATCAAATAAATAAGAAGTTTTTTACCCTTCTCCTCCTCTTCTCTCAATTCCAAAGGCAGTGGTGCAGTTCTGGATTTGTAATCAAATGGGGTTTGTCAGTTGCTTGGCTAGTTTAATGGGAAGGGTTCGACATTAAATCTGGCCCTTTCACCATCAGTCCTGATACTTTGCTGAAGCCTAGACAGGACGCTGATGGAGTTCACAGATGAGCAAATGGAGAGGTCTCATCAGGAAGGAAAAAGAGATTAATTTTAAGGGTCCTAGAGAGATTGGAAATGGGCAGGAAGTAGCCAAGTAAAAATAAGCTTGAAAGAAATGTGTATAATCCATCTGGAACAAAAAGTACAAGCTATATACATGGCTAATAGTCAAGAGGATAAATGGAACTATTAGGGGTAGTGACCTAAGATTTGGTCTCTCTTCCATCTATGGTAATCTGCCTAATTCCCTAAGAAAGAATTCAAAGCACTGTGTCTAATAATTTTTTAGATTAAGCAGTACCTTCCTTTCGGGGACATTCTGTGTCTCCTGCTTCTAATCTGGAGACTGAGGGCCTGTTGTCAGAAATCAGGTAGTTAAGGGTAGTGCTTTTGGTCTTTCCTTTGTGGGAGTGTGTGTGTGAGAGCTTGCCACGTTCAGTAATGTTCTCAGTCATTTATTGTCACCCAGTGTTTATTGTTGCGTATTATGTGACAGTCACCAATTCCCATAAGGAAACCCCAACTAAGGCTGGGGAGCCAGTGTAGCGTGCAATGAGTGTACAATGACAACAGAGGACAACCACAGCCCTGGAGGGATGTCTTAGGGTCCGAGGACAACCACAGCCCTGGAGGGATGTCTCAGGGTCCCGTTGCATAGTAACCGATGATCTCCTCAAAAGTAAGGGCCAGGTCAGCAAATGATAGACGGTGGCAAGAGGGACAGCAGAGGCAAGCTGAATATAAAAAAGAAAAACAAAAACACCAAAACATGACTGTTTCGGAAGTCTCAAGAACATATTCATGAAAATAAGTATCACACATCCGAGTGATATGTGGATAGATAGGTTGTCCTTGCCCTCCAGGGATAATCAAAAGAGGACACTTAATGTAAAACTTACATAACTGTCTAATCAGAGCAATACATACTTGTGCTTAACAAATATCCAGCCATGTAACCAGAAATGGAATACTTCTCTAGAAAATATTTAGAGTTTCATATAGTTTCACTGCGATGTCCTGAATATGTTTAGTCAAATACTAAAGCAACATATTCTTCCAAGCACAATCCTACTACTCTTATCTCT